GCTGATGAGTTTCTTCTCTTTGTCATTCCAGAAAACTTTCTGTCAAAAAAGAGAATAGTTAGACAAAGCGGGATCACGAGGTTCGGCAGTCAAAAGGTTCGGCATTCACGTAAGATGGACATGCCTCGGACCCCAATGAGAAAACGAGAAACCAACCTGTAGTCCCAAGCCCCTACTGCCAGCCAAGGGGCCTGATGTCAGCCGATGGGGTTTGTGTTTATCCGAAAAGCTTTCATAGACATCCTTTTCCATGTAATCGGGGTTACGACGCAGTTCTTGCACAATGGGGAGTCCAATGTCGAACACGCGCTGGATTCCCTGAATCTCCAGTTGGTCTTCTAACGACCCAGGAGCCGGTGGCGCTGCAATTTTGTTGTCCAGCCATTTTCCTGCACCGACGCCAAGCGTTCCAAAGATGCCAGTATAGATTAGACGGCGCGTCCAACGCGATGGTTCTCGTGAGGTATTTGGAAGTGCCGCGGTGCTGACGCTTCGGACCGCTGGTCGCGAAAATCTTCGCGTCTGTATCGAAGTCTGGCGAAGGGCCAACTGAAGGATGTTGCGATAATGTATCATGGTGGTCACATACTTTGGAATTAGAATATTGATTCCATTGGAGCTTTGGACAATTCGGGCCGAGGCCCAGTCGGGTCACGTGTAAATATCCATTAGTCATTTACATATGTCTTCACCGGAAGAAAATCTAGAGATCCATGGGGACTACAGAGTGGAGATTATTGCAAGGCATAAGACAATCAATTGATAACATGTTAAAGCGTTGGAGACGAGCATTATTCATGTTCATCGTTTCTATTCATCTAGAGGCAACATTTGCAGATATCTTTCCCATGTGAATGGGGGCTAAGGCAAACCCATTTACTCGGATTTGGGCAGCTCAATCGCGCGGTAGAGGCAAATGAGGGCAGAGTGTGACTCGCCTAGAAATATCGTTAGCAATGACTCTTAGATCGTAGAATGCTGTTCACTTACCACCACCGGAAAGGGTCTCGATCTTCTGTGCCTCCACCTCAGTCACTGTGTCATCGTTGAACCACCACCACTTGTCGTCTGCTTCGCGGCGCTTGCTGCCTGTCTGGGGCTCATCCCGCTCCTGTTTCTTGACGTATGCCGTGTAGTGACCGCTGTCGGCGCTAGCACCCTGGTGCGTAATCACGGCACGAAGCTCATACAGACCAGACTGATTGGTCCCGCTGTCTCCAGCACCCCGTTGGTTGACAAGTTCTTGGAGCTCTTTCTTAGCAACGCGGATAGATTCCACTTTTTCTGCTTCGTAGTCGGCATCGGTTTTGAAAGTCTCCTCCATCTGGCTATCGCCATCCTTGTCGTTCACTTTAGACTTGTTCTCCTCGGCGGCCTTCTTCTTCTGCATTGGCTCCACGCTTTCACCCAGGTTGGTTTCTTTCTGCTGACGCTCTGCACGCTCTTCGGCAACTCTTTTCCGTTTCTGAGAACGTTCGACTTCCAGTTCCTCCTTTCGAATCTCGCGGACCTTGTCACGGATAGGGACGAGCTGCTTTCGGAGGTCCTCAGTACAAAACTCCACAACATCTAACTCAGCAGGAAATGTCACTTTGCGCATGATCTTAGCCTTCTTTTGTGTCTCCCGCTTCCAGTAAAACCGGACGAAATGGACTGTAAGGTATTTGGGCAGACGAGCAATGCGAGAACGCTTTTTGTACACAGAATTACGCTCCAAGAGAGGAGAGTTTTTCTCGATTTCCTCTTCGAGGCCGGCCAAAATTCCATCCTGTAGGTGGTTCGTTTCTTTTCCGATATGACAATCAAGTTTGTAGAAAACATCCGAACTTTGACTCGGTTGCTCGCCGAGCTCCTTGGCGGCAGGATCCTCGCACTCGGTGATAGATTCGAATTGGCCAGCGAGATATTTATCTACAAATGAGGTGGTGGTGGCAGACTCACCCTCGCCCTCAGTGATGGTCAATTTAGCCCGCAACTGGTTCAAGATCTGGGAGAAAGCCTCCTCGGCATCCTGTTGGGAGTATCCTTGTCCATTTCGGTCACGTTGGGCGAATTGAGGGAAGACGGTTCGGAGAGCATTGAGGAACATAAGTGGGGGAATGCCCTCTTGGGTCTCGGACATTTGCTTGAACAGATCTCGTAGAGAAGCAGCCAAATCCCGAGAACCTCCAAGTCCACCAATACCAAAGCTGCTGAGGTCTGACAGACTAGATTGTCCAGCTCCTCCACTTGGCCGATACCGCTGGAGCTCTTCCTGGAGCTCCGGGACACTCCGCAAGGTTTGTAGGGAAGAGTTGAGGTAGCATGTGTTTCCCAGGTTCTGCAAGCCGGCAGGGGTGGCACCCTCTTGTCGTGCGACCTCGGCCTCGGTCATGTCTTCCAGGAATTTGACGGTCTCCTTTGGCCGACCAAGGTCAGCGGAACCTTGACCTCCCGACGGGGTGCCCATCATCATGAACATCTGCCCGGGTTTGGCATTGAGTGCCGAAAGGGGTGTATCATCTTTAAGCTGGCCACCTTTGACCAAAACCTTTTGGCGGTCGGGTTCCACACCAGTCAAGGAAAATAGTTGGTACTTGAGTGTTTCGCCGTTCGACGTAGGATCTAGCTCGACTTCGTGGCGCTTGCCGGCATGTTTGACAATAACTGTGTATCTGTTAGTAGTGGCCCAGGGTCTGCCAATGCATCCATACATACTCGGTATAGCCGCCATTTTCAATAAGTTTTAGGGATGGATGATGTGAGAAGGATAAAACCTTTGAAAGAGCTTGCGATTGCTGGGGCAAATGGTAAACAGCCTGGGACGAGGAAGCGTGGGGGGGGGTCTCTCACCGCCCAACCACTATCATCACCGCCCACCCCGACGTCAACTCCTCTTCTGCCTAGGACAACCTGTTATCTAGAGAACTGCCTTCCTCGTTCACTGCTTTGGGACGAAGCGTCCTCACAACGGGCTAATTTCAATTTGTCTTCAATCAGCCCCTAACTATATTATCCTTCGTGGCGATTGCATCCTCGTGACCTCGACAAACACCCCTCATCATGGTGGGTACAGCTCCAATCAGCCAACTCATTCTATACTAATTGATTGTCAGAGTCAATCTCTCCGGCCCTACCTCCAGGCGTGAGTTTTGGCCTTCGACAATTCAGCGGCAAGCTTGCTCACACTTGCTTTACTAGTGTTCGGTCCTCTCTAACCGCAGCACTTACGATCTCCAACTTCGCTTCTCAGACATCCGAGCGGCAGTAAGTTGCCCACGGTGCAAACCTTAGACACAAAGGATGCTAATATACTTGGTTCCACCAGCAACTGCCCAGAAGTCGAAGCAAATTCTTCGCCCGAGATCCTACTGAACCCGTACGTCTGACCATCGTTTCTCCCCAGGTCGCATTGGACAAAAGTATTGATGGGGTTCCAGGCTGCACATCAGCAGGAATGAAAATGAGAAGGTCAAAATTGAGCCAAGCTACAATTCTGTGCGCATAAGTATCAGAATCAAGCAGGCAGATGAGATCGAGCACATTCTTGTTCACAAATTCACTCGGTTCCTCACCCAGCGAGCGGAATCGTTCTTCATTTTGCGCCGGAAGCCAGTCGAGGGATATGACATCAGTTTCCTCATCACGAACTTCCACACGGAAAAAATGCTTACACACAAGCTAATTGATTTCGTGATCGAATTCATGGAAGAGGTGGACAAGGAGATTTCGGAGATGAAGCTCTTCGTATGTGTGCGGATGCGTCGTTTTCGTCGCAATTTACTAACAGCTCACTAGTTGAATGCCCGTGCTCGATTTGTTGCCGAGTCTTTCCTGACACCGGTATGTTTTTATTCAGCTGTCTACCATTGACTCAATTGCTGACGATCATCTAGTTCGATTAAATTGCCTAGCGTTTTCTTGTTGATTCCGAATAATGAATGGCCCTGTGTTTCCCACTTTCAACTCTTGTACAGATAGCATAGGCTTGCATTGATTAAGAGAGAACCTTATCCTGATGTCCTGATGTCCGTCGATCGATGTTTTCTGGTCTGTGTTCAAGTCGTTTTTAGTAGAACAGTAGATGCCTTTCCACTGGCGTAGTGCCCATGCTAACCTGGTGTTCTCGTAAGGCCTGGTTCCTCTTCATCAAGACAAGCTACCTCAGTGGCGCTACACAGCAGTAAACGAAGAAGAGGGAAAAAAGAAACTACACTAGAGAGAAAAGGTATCTTAACAACAGTAGTACAATGCCAATCTTCAGGAACTCATGCTCGGACACATTTTAAACTAACAAATGTCTACAGTTTAGATCGAAGTCTATTTACAAAGCAATCATTCGTAATCCAAACATAAAGTCGAGAATATCAGCATAAACAAAAATAGGGAGTTGGGAAGACTTGTATCTTGAATTGGGAGGAGTGCGTGGATAATAAACATTATATGGGTGAAGTGCGTGGGAAAAGTAGAGGTGCGGCACATTAGTGCGTGGCGGAATATTGTTTGCATTGAAGCTAGGCGCAATGGAAATATTTACGAGGAAGGCGTGGAATATTGGTTGGTGCGGACCAGGTGCGTGGAAACAAGGAATAGTCACAAATCTGAGTGCGTCGCGATAAATGCGTATCTCAAGGTGACTCGGACAGTGTAGGGTATAGAGTGTACAGAGGCCTTGAGGTTCGTTGGTTTTTTTTGAAGATATCGACATATATGGTACTTCAACTCACTATGTTTAATTTAAAAAAATATCTAAAAGATGCTATATCATATAAATTGATTGAGAAAAGCAAGATCAGAACTTGATAATTTTATAGTACACATGCAACAATCCAGCAGCTCAACTAGAACCCGAACAATCCATCAACACTCAAGTACCTTCCTACCTTGACGGACTCGTAAACGCGCGTTGAGCTCAATTCCATATAAATAGCCTGCTGCTATCCCCACGCACTCTGCCGCGAAAATATTTTTTGTTGCCACGCACGATCTATTTCCCCAAACTTGATATTGCTAGCCCTAACATGAGTGAACAATCCGGGCGTATGCCCAAGCTTGATGGATGCATTAGAATTCTGGCAACTGATCTTGATTTACTGGGTCTCAGTGAGGAACGTGAGGAGCTACAGACTGTGATTGACTCTAACAGTCGCAAACACTCATCCTCTGGGATTGCCTCTGGTTCTTCTCATAGGGAATTATCCTCTAATTCTGCGTCCGGCCTCCAGTCTTCCAGTCAGGTTTCTTCTCAGGCTTCTTCTGTAGTCTCTACCTTCCCATATCAGCTTCCCCTTTCTTCAACCCCATCCTCTGTTATCTCTTCCCATCACCAAAGTTCTTCTTCGTCCACCATCCGTCCTCCTAAAAGCCATCTTGACTTGGGACCTGGATACTATTCCGGATTTTTTGAATTTGTGCCCCCCCAAGTCCGTCCTCCTCCTGGCCTGAAGCCCCGATTCAATCAGTATCCCTTTGAGACCATACCTCAAGTCGACCACAATCCTGTGGGCTTTGCTGATCAGTTCAACTCCGGTAAGCATCATCTTGCTCCCCTTTGTCGTGATCGGTCGATCAACTGTACTATCACCATTATGACTGTTTGAACCTCACTGACAGAAACCTTACTACAGCAGACGTCTTCGTATCCAACCCTCGTCCATCCAACCCCACCGACATGGGTTGGCCCTTCGACCTGAGTGGAGTCCCCCATTATGCGGATTTCGAGCGTTTTGAAAATGCCTCGATTGAAGAGCTCCTTCAACCGAGTTCTATTCCATTCGGCAGTGTCGCCGAGATGCACCCACCTGCTCGCAATGGTGTTGTGATGATTTCTAACGTGTGTTTTTATTTCACCATATTCTTCCTGTTGACTGCTTATTTGTTTAATATTCCGTTGCTAATGATTATGATACTCAGATTCCGTACACTGTGACTCGCCAGGAGGTGGCCTCGTTCCTTGGACGCAGTGCTAATCTGCTCCCATCCACTGAAGGATGTCCAATCCATATTATCATGGAACGGTCTACTGGCAAGACCATGGACTGCTATGTTGAATTTGCAACAATGGAGGATGCTCAGGATACCGTCGAACGAATCAATCGCGCCTATGATGCTGGCAGCGCTCCCCGTATGGGCAGTCGTCACGTTGACCTAGAGCTCAGCACCCCGGCCAAGTTGCTCAAGGCTACTTTTCCCCGGGCAAAGTGCATTTCATGGGAAGATGGGAACCCTGTTCAGCTTGTTAACAAAGACAGTTGGTCCACTGGTTTTGATGGTTTCCTCACTGACGAAGAATTGTTTTGCCTTACTCGTCACGCAGAACAACCTCATCGTGTATGTCTGAATTCTCGTTTATCTTCGTTTTCATGTCACTAATCATTTAACACATTGCAGAGTGCATTTGCAAGCAAGGTTCCTCAGCGTTGCTACGAATCGTTCATCAGCACCATCTGGAAAGTAAGTCAACCCTTGTCCTGCATCTTCGTTTGCTCTTCCATGTCGTACTTACATTCTTTGTCTTATGATATAGTTTCCATGGCACGCAACTCATCTTTACACTGTGCACCACCGTAATGCTCTTTTCAAGACTCTTGGTACCTTGATCAGGGCTTTGGTCGAGCGTATGCAGAAGACAAACACCGTCGGTTTGGATATCCGCCTTCTCAACGAGTTGGTTCGCGCAGGAATCAGTTGCCCTGCTTTCAATCCTCGCATGAAGTATTGTTTTGCTTGGTGGTCAAAGGATCAGAGAGGAATTGAGTTATTGGACCATGACTGGTGCCTTTATTTCCCATTCGACACTCTCAACTATGTTCCTGGACACATTTCTGCTGCTAACCAGGTACGAAAGATGGTTGAGATATTATCTTCTTTTTGAAAGACCGCTAATCCATTCTCCAATCGGTACAGTATTATTCCTACGTCATGTCCAACGGTGCTGTTTTGCGTACCGAGAACGATGGTCTAATCAACAAGCATACTCACCCTGAGATCGAGCGAATCTTTGGAAGGTTCTGGTTTGAGTGGGACGACGACGTTGCCCGTAACAAGGTTTTCAAAGATGCAATTATCTACGAAGCTGGTGTTCTTCGGAAGTTCATCATCACTGGATTCCAGCAGCTTCACAGAAGACAATCTAGCGTCTCAACCATTGGCACTGCTCCTGGCTCGTCACCCACCCACAGTATCGCCTCAGTTGACAGCCAGCGTACTATTTCGGTATCTCACAATCCCTCGGTGAATCCCGGCCCTACCTATCAGGAAAGCTCGACCGTTTCAGCCCCCAACAACATGGCTAGCAGCCTCCCTGAGCATGGTAACACTTTGAACGTCCTTGGTAACCCCCGTGGTAGCTCCCAGCGACTTAATGCTGACCAATATCTGCTGGACACCCCTACCCATCGGCCTCTTGCATCGGCTCCTCTCTACCGTCCGCCACACCAACGACCTGCCGATCCAACCAAGCCCTGCAACCAGTCTGTTAGCTGGCGGATGCCTCAAACCCAGGAAGCACATGCGGCTGGCCCAACTCAGAGCCAGGCTGCGATTCGGCCTGTGTACCGTGCTCCGCACCCGGCTGCGCAGAACGTTCGGTCGTCCTCTGACCCATTCGGCCCGGTCCCTTCGATTGCCCCCCCTGGCCACCGCTCTCGCTCCGATGTCACCCGTCTGTCAAACATCGATCCCCGCGCGTTTGATGAGATCCGAGCTGCCGGTCGCAGTCCCCGGCCCGCAAAGAAGTAATCGGACACAGTAGATACCCTGGACCAGTACTTCTCGGTTAGGGAGTGCTGGTCTATCAGCATGGTAATGGTCTTGAGCTTCACAAGCTTTTCTTTTTTTTTTCCTGGTCATTCCCTTGCCCAGTCTTTTCTGCGTGGATGTATGGAGACGTCCACCAGCTCTATCCAACAAACCCTTGTCTCCCTAGCGCTTGCGCCATTTGCTTTTCTGTTTTTCTGCTTTTTTTGTTTTCTTTTTTACTCCAGCGAGATCGAATATTCGTAGCTGCTGCCTTCGGGAGGTGCTTGGCCTGTTTGGGATATCTCCCTGTGACAGAAACTCATTTGAGTTTCATTTTTTGCTAGGTCTTATGTCACTTCTCAATTAGTTGACAAGCTAGCTTGCGTTTGCTTTTACTTCTTGCGTTCTTGTTCTTTTTGCTTCTAGTAGATTTTCTTTAGGCGGGCGTTGCTTTTGTTTGTAGATTATGTAGGCCATGCGGTAACCTGCATATAGTAGAACACTAATGTAAGACTGATCAAGATTAGGTAGTAGGACACCAAGGTAAAATTTATAAGGAGTACTCTTTCAGATCTCTTTGTTTTCGGGAGACTGCCGAAGTAGAAACAGTACTTTACTAGTTCTGACTTCCCACTCAATGTCTCTCTTTTGAGGACATTCGTGTCTTCTTTCTGAGGTATTGTGCTCTTGGTTTACCCTCTGGCTCTTGATTTGATCTTGGAGCTATGAATTTATCACATAAGAATCCGATCACTCATTACGGTCGGTCCTGACGACACACCTACCAACACTTGCCGGTGAACCTCAAAAGATACATTTGTGACCAAGCTGTGGGACCTCGGGAGGGCATACCTCAGCTGCTATCAGCAGAGTTCTCATTATCATGACAGCAAATCCTGGATCCTTGATATATAAAAAAAAAGCTAAACAAGTACGGGCTGCAGTACTGTTGAGGAGAAACACGGCCGAAACAAGAAAAAAGTCTAGGCGTGAGAGAGTATGACTGCCACTCAGTCAAAGGCCTAGATCGGAACCAGCTGGGTTTTTTGGGAGATTACGTTGGACTAGTAGTGATGTCGAGAGACAGGCAACCCTTCCCGCTGCAATATATAACCGCTTCCTTAAAATTAACGAGATGCACCGAGATACTCATGAATAGGAGCATGCTAGATCGAGCACATGGTCTTCATCTGTTTCAGGTAGTTTACCACCAATATATCCCATGCAAAGGGGCCCTACAATTCTACATAGCCAAATTCATGGGACCAGACCTTGGAAGAAGACCCGAGAGACATACCAGGGTGTCCCGCATGAGACAATATGGGACAGCATACAAGTGTGTTGGGGGCTGTCAGCGAAGTCAATAACCTCCTGCCCCACGAAGACAGTAATATGCTGGGCACAACTATTACTAGTAATGGCCAGCCTAAAACGACCACCGAGATGGGTATATGTGTATATAAATATATATATTGTTTAGACTAGAGAGCTGTTTCAATCGCTTTTCAACTGACATTACCGTATTGATATCTGTCAAAGTATAAATACATGTACGTCTTGAGGAGGGGGTGGAAAAAAAAAACGTAAGGGCGCCAATACCCAAAGCGGAGCCATTTATTACAGCCGGTTTATAAGGCATGCGGGCCCTTTTGGTTTTCGATTTCGATTCATCACTTTTTATCTTCATCTACAAGTATTTTGTTTCTCTTTTGCTTTGCTCGATTTTCAGATATCAGAATTTTTTAAAGACCCCTCAAAACATAGAAGAGGGGAGGAAAAGACCGCTAAGTTCCCTCATTTTCATTTGATTCATCTAAATATGCCTCGACGGTCATCTCGGCCTGATCCTGCGTCGCCTGATGCGCCTATGGCGTCAAAGCGACGCGCTTCAGCCAGACTGTCCGCCGCCGAACCGGGAGTCAAACGGGTCAAGTCAAACGTCGACCTGTCCCTCCGCCAGGCAAAGTCCACGACCAGCAAGAGCAAGTACTTCGAGCCAGAAGACTCCGACGAGCCCGACTCAGAGTCCGATGCCTCTGTGGGAGAATCCGCTGGCTCTGTGTATGAGGAAGCAAAGGAGGAATCCCCCGCCGACGAAGCGGAGCCGGAAGAACTCTCCGACACCGACGAGGACGCCAAGAAGAAACCCAACGTGAGAGGAAAGCAACGACAGAGTACCAGCAGCGGAAGTGACCTTGTGAAGGGCAAGGAGCTCTGGCGCGAAGGTGTCAGAGTGGGCCTGGAGCCCGGGCAAGAAGTTGTCATTGCAAAGCCCAAGGCTCGAGACGCGGGGAAGACCCCGTACCAGGATGAGACGCTGCACCCCAATACCAAGCTGTTTTTGATCGATATAGCTAGCAACAATGACCGTCAATGGCTCAAAGGTAGGAAGCGCACACGTACCCCGGTTATCGACTTGCTGGCTGACTTGCGCAGCGCATGATCCGGATTATCGCGCAGCAAAGAAGGACTTTGAGTCGTTCGTTGACTCCCTCACGCCGAAGATTGCGGAGGTAGATGCTACCGTCCCCGAACTTCCTGTGAAGGACCTGGTAGGCTTGCGAATACTCCTGTTTTTTTTTTCTTATTTTTATTTTTTTTTTGTCACCACTCACAAACTTTTGTCCCAGGTATTCCGCATCCACAGGGATGTTCGCTTCAGCAAGAATCCACTTCCGTACAAGGTAGGCTATCTTCTCCTCCGGGTCCCTGTCGCTATGGCCTGTCGCATGTGTTCGTATGTGGCGGGTGGGCGTGTGGTACTGTGTGCTCGTTAGCGGTGCTTGTGCTGATTCCAAATGTATAGACGCATTTCTCTGCTGCCTGGTAAGTGTTAATGTTCAATGCCCCTCTTTTCTTTTGAAGAGACAAGTCACTGACTATGATGCAGGTCTAGAACTGGTAAGAAGGGCCCGTACGCAGCGTACTATGTACACTTCCAGCCAGGCTCTTGTTTTGTTGGTATGTTGTCCCCCAGCTGGTTCCCACTATAGCCATCGCTATCTTGCCTCTCATTGTGTGATCTTCATCCATTGCGGCTAATACCGCGCTGTGTATAGGCTGCGGACTGTGGAACCCCGAGTCAGAGCCACTTGCACTGCTGCGGGAGGACATCGACGATAACTCGGCTGTCTTGAAGGAGATACTCCGGGCGCCGGAGATGCGTCGTGAGTTTCTGAAGGGAGCGTCCGACGATGACGATGCGGTTGTGGATGCTTTTACGCATCACAATAGGGAGTCTGCCCTCAAGACAAAACCCAAGGTAAGAAGCGTCCTGTTCTCTATTCCCGCTCACCACAATATGAAGTATATTGCCCATTGAGACACATTTTATTCCTTCCCGTTATCATCTTGTGGTTCGGTTGCATTGTCAGCTGTTTGTTTATTTATGGGCTGGGACACGAAGGTCTTCCGAGGCAAGGGGCACAAGGTTCGCCATCGAGGTTGCATCCATTGTCCGACCGAGATTGGTCTTGAAAATGGAATCTACTTCCATATTCATGAGTACCATCTTCAAGACTTGATTCCCAGGTGGAAATGGCCTAATGGGATCATGGAGACCAGATCTTGTGGTTGACAAGGAAATGCCTTGGTCGGGCTGCTGGATGCGACCACGGCTCCTCACCCGGCCAGCGACGAAAGAAACCTGGCACATGACGATTCGAGAGAATCTAAGAGTTCCAAGCGTTCCAAATGCTTCATGTGCTTTAAACCATCAGATGAAAGAGATGTGGAAGCCACGCGCACGGTGGTACGGGAAAGGCCAACCCGTGTTTTTAGGCCAAATTTCCCGAACCGCAGCCATGGAACCTAGGAAAGCAATTTCCAAGGCTCGCAGTCTGATCTCAATGGGGGAATCGACTTGCTGGAATGGGATTTGTTCTCGCGCCGTCGAGTTTGGTTCCATGGTTCACACTCGCGCCAGGCTCCACGCCTGATCCATGGGATTTCCAACCTTGGAAGGTTACCGCTGACACACCTTCTAGGGTTACGAGGCAGATAACAAGAACATCAAATTACTTCGACTACGCAGTTTCACTATTGGAAAGCCCATTCCAGATGATGAACTCACTGGAGACGATGCTCAAGAGAAGATTGCTAGTTTGGTTGGGGTCATGGAGCCTTTCGTAAGCCCTTTTCCAATCTATTGATTCCCTTTCCCGCCAGTTTTCTCCCCTCCTAACTAGTCTGCTTTCCCTTCTGAGCTAGCCATTTTGGCGGTGTTAGCCGTCCCTTTTACCCACCCAAATCAGCACTGTCACTATGGTTTTTTTTTTTTTTTTTTTTTTTTTCTTGTCCTTCCCGCTTTGACAAGATAGGGTGTTCAGACAATAACCTTCATGTTGCATACTTGTATTGCTGACCGCTGACCGCTTCTCATTTCTCGAACAGGTGACGTATCTCAACAGTGTAGTGATGCCCGATCAGTGACATGATTGGGGAGAGCCACCTGCGCCTATTTGGCATTGGACGGGAGGGGGAGAGAGATCAATCTGTTCCGGTTTACCTTTGACCTTTTACTTCTGGGTGTGTGGTAGTTGTGGTATGAAGTTTGTTCGTATTTGTTACCGTTGAATTTCTCTCATTTTATTTTTCTCATTTAACATCTGCCTTTGCTCGGGTCTTTTGTCTTGCTACTCCTCGACTTGAAACCGGGATCCCATCCCCCACCTTGACGCCTCCTGCACATAGCTTCTTTCGTCGGTCCCCGCTGCGTTTCCTGGGTTTCTACTGCAGGCCTAACACTGGCGCGGGGCCAAATAACGTACCTAACACTTGCTCTGCAGTCATATCACCTCTAGTTGCTGCACACTGCATAGGCCTACAGTACGCGGGCAATGCTCCAAATTGAGACATTACTACTGCTTTTCCCCTCAACATGACACATATTCTAGACACTTCGACGCAATCCTTCTACCCGTGTCAGCACCCAATGGCTGTGAAGCCCCTCGCATGCAATATGCAGTTTAACCTTTTTGCAATCTACCACTCCTCCCAGA